CTTTAGAATATAGATCACACACACACACACACACACACACACACACACACACTTAATGCTGATGAGGGCAAACAGACCAGGATGGATCATAAACTGAAGGGTAAAATGTAAACTGAGTATCCTTTGGGAAGAACAGGGCCTTTCAAAATGTGAAAAATATCTATATTCAGTGACCAGCAAATCCACTTACGGGAACACTACGGTAATATTGGCCTGTTGCACAAAGAAGTATTTATAGAGAAACTCAAGGCTGCACTGTTTTAATAATGAAAAACTGGAAACTCCAGAGACATCCATCAATGGAATAACTGTTCAATAACTTATGGCATACTATCTATGAAATGCCACCGCCACTCAAATGAATGAGATTTATACTAGCATGAAAAGACTTTCTGGACGATGTTTTGTGTATGCACTGAAAGAGTCTACACACATTTACACATATACACACGCATGTTTGAATACGCACAGGAAACTGTCTACAAGGAATTAACCAAACTGTTCTACCTCTGGGGATGCAATGACGTCTGGGAAGGAGAGACAGGGGCTTTCATTTGCACTTGACCGCTTTCTTTTCACTGCCTGACTGTTTAATTAGAATATACTATTTATAGATAAAAGCATGCATAGTCAAAGCTCAGCCAGAATACAGTGCAGCAGTGAGCATGCCTCATAGGTGCCCTACAAGAGTTCAAGTACCAGCACAACATGATCCCCAGAGCAAACCACATACAGGCCTGGAGCCCTCTGGATTGCTGAACGTTCCCCGAACCATGAGGTGTGGCCTGGCTCAACCGGACACCACAGGGTCCGAGCAGTATCAATCCTCAGGCCCTGGCATCAAATCACTGTCTAGGTTGGCTGCAAAGAGCAGGTGGGCACTCCAGAGAACCAATGGGTGCCACCCCACATATAAATTAAAAAAGCAAAGACCTGTATTTCTCTGCATCTACCTTAAAAAAAAATTGATCATCGCGTACAAGAGAAGCAAAAGAAATCTTTCTACATAAATCTGTATTTTCGTAAGATAAGAATTTCCATGCAAAATGCATTTTATTTATTTTTGATTTTGAGATCATGCCGCTAGTGCTCAGGCATTACTCCTGGCTCTGTGCTCTGGGATCACTCATGGAGGGTTTGGGAAACCATATGTGTGCTAGGGGTAGAAACTGAGTTGGCTGCATGTAAGGCAAATGCCCTACCTGCTGTACTATAGCTCCAACCCAGATAAAAATTCCATTTTAAAGTTGAATTCTCTCTCTCTCTCTCTCTCTCTCTCTCTCTCTCTCTCTTTCTGTATGGGTGTCTCTGTTGGATTTGGATGCCTCTGTCTTTTTTTTTATACTCAGCAGTGCTCAGAGGCTATTCCTGGCTCTGTGCTCAGGAGTGACCCTTCCCCCCCCGCCCCCCCAGGAGCTGCTTGGAAGACCACAAGCAGTGCAGGGGATTGAATTGCAGTTGGTCATGAGCAGGGTAAATGTCTCAGTACTATCTCTCAGGTTCCTGTATTCATTCTTCATATAATTCTACTGAGTAAAAAATGAGGTAACCAGGTACTATGACTTCCTGGGAGGTCTTGCAGAGAAATACCATCCTGAAGAATAAATACTGGGCCTGACCTGTGCAAAGGTTATGGCACTGTAGCACTGCAGCATGGTTGTCCCCTTCATCGATTTTTTTGAGCGGGCACCAGTAGCGTCTCCATTTGTCCCTGTTGCATGCTAGTGTAGCCCAATGGCGTCTGCTTGCTCCAGGAACAGGAAGTGAGAATTGTTGTTACTGTTTTTTGGCACATCTAATATACCATGGGTAGCTTGCCAGGCTCTGCCTTGAGGGCAGGATACTCTTGGTAGCTTTCCCGGCTCTCCAAGGGACGGAGGAATCGAACCTGGGTCGGCTGTGTGCAAGGCAAATGCCCTAACCACTGTGCTACTGACCCAGCCAAGGTTATGACACTTGAATTAAATGAAGTTGAACCTGGTTTGATATCCAGAGCCTTGAGTCCCACCAGGAGTGATCCTTGAGTACAAAATCAGGAGAAAGCCTCTAGCACTTCTGGGTATGACCCCAAAACCCAAACGAAAAAAGATGGATTGAGTGCAGTCACATTGCAGAGCTCATGATTCAAGGACACAGCACTGTCATTTTCCCAGCTGCTTGGAGGTCTCAGGCCACCTGAAGTCACCAGAAGCATCTAGATATTACCATGATCAACTGCACTGGGGAAGTGTGTCAGATATGTATGTGAGCTTTTTTGTGATTCCAGAAGTAAAAGGTGGGTAAGGAGGGAACCATTAGGTCTGGCTTGCTGTGCCCATGAGGTGGGTCCAAGAGCAAAACGTGTTAGGCTCATGCCCTCAGAGAAAGATCCTGCATATCCAGGAGGTCTCAAAGCCACTTAGAACTCTGGGTTGGAAGGGCTGGCGTGCACGTACAGCGGGCAGGGTGCTTGCCTTGTAACATGGTAGACCTGGGTTTGATCCCTGGCACCCCATATGATCTGGCAGGAGAGATTCCTGAATGTGGAGCCAGTGATAACCCCTAAGCACCACTGGGTGTGCCCCCCCCAAACCAAATCAAACCAAAACATAAAATAAACTAGGCTTGAGTGCAGGAGGAAAGGCACTTGCTGTGTAGGCTGCCAGCCTTGATTTGATTCTGTGGCCCCACATATGATCCCCAGAGCAGCATCAGGGTGAATGCTGAGCACAGAATTAGGACTAATCTCTAAAGACCCAAATCTCAAAATTAAAAAAAAAAGACACGAGCCAATATGATATGGGAGGAAACAAAAAAATTATCCTAGGAGATAAGAGGTATTCCCGTCTACAAAATAGAAATTAGCACATTATTGCCCTTATTCTAAGTTGGGATGTGTGGATTCCTTTCTTTTCATTTATGGGGTTCCTCCTCCTCACTCTCACATTCCCTAAAATAAAATCATCTTGTTTTACCATGTCCTCTTTGGAAATTAGTTTTTATTGCCAGTAAGAACCTAAATGCAGATGGTGACTGGGCCTGGTTTCTTTCACTGGTCTGACACTCCCCGAACACATACCTTGCATGGCCCGCATCTGCAGAATCAGGGCAGTAAACTCTCCATGAGTAGCACCCACCGCCATCCCCTGCATCAAAACCTGCTGTGCAGAAGCAGGTATGCAATGGAGAGGGAAAAGAACATCGGGCCCTGAGAAGATGCCCAAAACTTCTCATGCCCAGGGACTCCTTTTGGCCACAGAAAAGACAAAGCAACGAGTCCTCTGAAGAGCCCGGAGACTTCTCAGCCTCCTCCTTCCCACTGACCCACTTCCCACCATTGCTAACAGTCCCAAGCAACCCTGCTAGGATCACTCGCGGGCCCAGCCTGAGAGGTAAGTGGTTCGAGGGAGACAGGAATTCTGCCATCTGCTCAGGCTGCAAGCACCAGAATAAAATTCTTGATCCACATTAAAAAAAAAAAAGTAAAGACAAACACAAAACAATGACAACCCAACAACAACAAGAGAAGGCCAAAAAAGCAAAGTGAAAAGAAAAGAAGATAAAAGAAAGGTACAGAAGAGAAAAGACACGAACAAGGAAAGATGTTATTACAGAAACAATAGCCACGGAACAAATCAGTCAGTCCCATAAACTCCAGCAAGAGATTTTCTATTAAATTAAGAAATTAGGCCACTGCTTTCTCGACTGTACGCCTAGCTCCCCAGTGTGGACCAACCCTTCTTCCCCCAACACCCCGTGAGAATCTCTGCAGACTGTCTTCTCCTGAGCTCAGCAGCCCCTGGCGAGATGTTCCTCGCCTAGGAGAGCTGAATTTCTTTGTGGTTCAACTTTTTGGGTTTGGGGTCACTCTCAGTAAGTGCTCAGGGCTTGTTGCTGGCTCTGTACTCCGGGATTACTCCTAGTGGGCTCCAAGGACCATTGCAGTGCTGGGGATTGAGCCCCGCTTGGCTGCATCTGTCCTATCTCTTCTCTTCAGTCCCTGAACTTGTTTTTCCAGAAAGAACTCTCATAGCCTATTTCATCCTTTCTGGTATTTTTTTTTTGGGGGGGGGGGGGTTTAAGAATTCCATTTTTCAAGATTTGACTGGCAGGCATATTTTCGGGAACACACTTTTTTTTACATAAAGCACTGCTGTGATATGACATTGAACAGGACACCTATAAATTCAGAGATCAGGGCTCATGGCCCGCGATCCCATCCTGTGTAGGTGCTGGAGAGCATGGGTGAGCACAACACCGCGCTGTGCCGGCCAAAGTGGGATTTGCATCCTAATTTATGTCCTCTTAAGATGAGTTCCTCAACTGGCTTTGTCTGCTGCAAGGCCAAATCAAATGCCAAGGGGCTCGGACTCCCGAATGTCCCGAAGATCAGAATAAATGATGCTTGTCCTGGCCCAGAAAATAAAACAAAGGAAGAGACTACCAGATAGTCCCAGAGAGTGATTCAAACTTCTTCAAAAAAAAAAAAAAATAGAGGATTTTAGAAATCGTCCTTAGTTGGCTTTGAGCTCAACTCTATGTTTTTCCTTGTTTTGGGGTCACACCCGGCCATGCTCAGGGCTTGCTCCTGGCTCTGTACTTAAGAGAACAATTCTGACAAGTTTGATGGTACCAGGGTACTAGGGGGTACCAGGGATTAAATCCTGGTGGACCTTGTGAAAAGCAAGCATTGGATGTGCTGTACTGTTGTTCCTAGCTCAACTGTATTTCTAAGAAAATGTTCATTGTGGTGACCAGGAAGATAGCCTGGGGCTCGGAGGCCTTTTCCAAGCAAGCATGTTTCAGATCTGAGGTACCATATGGGCCCCCAGACCCCGTCAGCTGTAATTTGGGAGGACCCTGGCACTGCAGGCCCCAGTCACATCACATCCTGGGAGCCTAGCATCAACCAAACTGGCCAAGTATTGCCTTGAGACGCCCCATGCACTGCCTTGGAGCCCCCAATCCCAACTGTTATTCCTGGTAAAATACACATAAAACTGACCATCAGTTTTACCTACCTTGTAAACTGTCGACTCTCTTCATGAACTTCCATCTCTGTGCTTTTAAATTCATTCAATTCTTTCCTTATTGCTGCCTAAATAGAAAAAATATATATAAATATAAAAGGAATTGTTATATGGGTTATGTATTTCTTCAGTATATAAAGTATCCAAAGAGCAGACATTATCATCCTTCCTTCCTCCCTCACTTCCTTCTTTTTCCTTCCTTTAGTGGGGGGTGGCTGGAGCACTCCCAGTTGTGCTCAGGACTTACTCCTGGTTCTGCATTCAGGGATCACTCCTGGCAGGCTTGGGGGATCATCCATGATGCTAGGAATCAAATCCAAATTTGTTTCGTGCAAGGCAAGTGCCCTATTCACTGAAGGACCGTAGGATCATTCCACTGTTATATTAAAGTTATCTAGATTTCTCTAGTTCTGCTTGTACTTTTGGCACCTACGTGCATTTTTTTCTATATTACTTTGTTCCTTATCTATGGTCATAGTGAATTTTTAAATAAATTTCTATTTAGACACTGATTGGAAAACAGCAGGAATTCTCTTAAATGTCTTGGAGAGAGAAAAAAACTGTCCTACTTTCTAGTAGGTCAAGTTGATGTTCCCTCAACTTACAAGAGATGAAGTCCCATAAACCCATCATACAGCGAAAAATACCGTAAGTCAAAATGCACTGACCAGGATTCACCTATAGCATATTATCACTTAGCCTGGACCATGGTACACATGCTCAGAACACACATGTAGGGCATGGTAGAGGATCAGTTGTTACCCCACCGAACCACAGCTGCGTGGGAGTGCCCTGTCCAGTATCATATGCGATGCTGGACCACGTATTGCTCTCCAGGAAAAAGATCAACAAATGGACAAATTCTTTTTTTGTAATGAACGTCTGTCAACTTTATATCATTTATAATACTGAGCTGCCAAACCATTAAGATGTTTTTCAGTATGGACTGAACATGTTTGCCACTCAATGCCTCTTTTGCAGACCACAACACCCAAAAGGAGAGAGAGAACACAGGGGATTGCCCTGCCACAGAGACAGGGGGGATGGGGGGATGGGGGTGGGAGGGATATTATCCATGGTGGTGGAAAATGGGCACTGGTGGAGGGATGGGTATCTGATCATTGTATAATTGAAACCAAAGCACAAAAAATTGTAAATCTACAACTTTAAAAAAAATAAAATAAAATAAAGGGAAAAAAAAAAAAGATGTTTTTCAGGGCCCAATTACCAGTACAGACCTCCTTCAAGAGTTGATGGGGAAGAAAGGAAGAAATCCATTGCCTAACACCCTGGGCTCCCTACCCTCCAGAGCTCAGGGAAAGGGGTCATAGGAATTCTCCCCTGAAGACCATTCACAGCAGCATGGCTACTGCAAAGGTCTTTGCTATTTATTCTTTAATATTCAAAGTCTGGACTATTAGAAGGAAAGCACTTAAGATCACTCAAAGAAACAACCCACAGAATGTTTTTGCTGTGATTATTTAAAGAGCACGAACACCTCTTGGAAGAGAACACAGAAGGATATGCCATAGCCATTACTCTGGACCTGTGCCAGGCCAGGTCGTTTCATCTGGGGCAACATGAAGCGGGGTGGGTGAGTTCCCCATCCCACCCCAATGGAGCCAGCTCCAGCAGCTAAAAACCTCCAGAACTCAATCACCAGGGCTGGAGCTATCGTACAGCAGGTAGGGCGTTTGCCTTGCATGCGGCAAAACCTGGATTTGATTCCCAGCTCCTATACGGTCCCGAGCACTGCCAGGACTAATTCCTGAGTGCAAAGCCAGGAGTAACCCCTGTGCATCGGCGGGTGTGACCAAAAAAGAAAAAAAAAACCCAGAACTCAATCACCACCATGCTCACAGCCACTCTCCACACTCTCAGAAGGGCCTCACCCATGAGTTAATCTATTCCCGGACATCTCATACTTCACACCACCAATATACCAAGAGTAGCACACCACATTTGATGGGGTTTAAAGTAAAAGGCAACCAATCTTAGGGGGAAATATATTTAAAAGCACACAAGGCTCAACCTTTAACAACATGTTAGTAATCTCTCATAGAGGGGTTTGATGGCTCCTGGGTGAAATATAACAATCTTCACACTCTTTCCTCTAATAAAACATTTTTGGGTCATCTCTAGCGGATTATTCATAATAACCAACACACACACACACACACACACACAGTGTTAACCCACACCGCATCAGTATGGGGATTCAAAGAGATGCATAAAAGTCCTTCAGATTGAAAAGCTGAGAGACTTATCAAAATGTTAATACTAATTATTAACAATAGCTGACCGGTCATGGATAATTTGGGGTTTTAATTTTGTGTTTATTTCTTCATTTTTTTCTCCTGAGAAAAGTCAGCAGACTTTTTAAATTTTTAAAAAATTACTAATAATGGGCTGGAGCGATAGCACAGCGGGTAGGGCATTTGCCTTGCATGCGGCCGACCTGGGTTCGATCCCCGGCACCCCATATGGTTCCCGCAAGCACCACCAGGAGTAATTCCTGAGTGCAGAGCCAGAAATAACCCCTGAGCATTGCTGGGTGTGACCCAAAAAGCAAAAAAAAAAAAAATTACTAATAACATTTGCACTACTTCTGTAAGAAATGTACACTTCAGGCAAAAGAGAGAATGTTAAAAGTCAGAAGGAGGGCTGAAGTGATAGGACAGCAGGTGGGGCATTTGCCTGGTACACGGTCAACCATAGCTTGATCCCTGGCTCCACATGACTCCCTGAGCACTGTCAGGAGAGATCCCTGACCACAGAGCCAGGAGTAAGACCTGAGCACAGTCAGTGTGGCTCAAATCACCCTTCCCTCAAAAAAGGTCAGAAAGAATAACTTCCCCGAGAGATGAATTTGTCAATGATTGATTTTTTTTTAAGAAAAGACAGGGCCCTGGGGTGTTTAATGGCAAAATACCCATTTTGCAAGCCCGAGTTCGCTCCCATTGCTAACCCATATGTGCTGAGTACAGTATTAACTGTGCTAGCCAGTGTCCCCCAGCGCTGCCACATTTAGAAGCCAAACGTTCAACAGCCTCTCATTTAGAAGCCATGTGTTAGCCAGGAATACTGAGAAGGAACTTATCAGAATAGTAGCAAAAGACTCCAAACTGGGCAACCCAAGATTCTGGCCTGTAAAGACTCTAAAGGCCTTTAGAGATCAAAACAAAACAAAACAAAACAAAACAAGAAGATAAAAAGAAAGGAACACATTTAAAAAAGGATGACACGAAGAACAATTAGCACACTGAATAAAATTTAGGAAAATTTAAATAAAATTGGCTGTCTGATTGTTAAAACAAAAACAAAAACCTCCCACCACCTGGTACAGAGCAGTGCTGTGAAGCCCCGAGGCCCCGGAAGCTCCTCAACATGCCCAGGGGTGATTGATGAGTATGGATGCAGGGCACATAGTCAGCAAGCACCGCACTGCAACTGAAGAGTGAAGTCTCCGATGAGCACTCCACAGAGATGGATGATCCCCGGTCACCCCAACAACAGCACAGGAAAAAAACATTTTTATGTTTTTTTTTTCTTTATGGGTCACACCCGGCGATGCATGAGGTTACTCCTGGCTCTGCACTCATGAATTACTCCTGGTGGCACTTGGGGGACCTTATGAGATACTGGGGATCGAACCTGAGTTGGCTACATGCAAGACAAACACCCTACCCACTGTACTATAGCTCCGGCCCAGGCAAAAAACTTTTAGTTAAAAACACAAAGACAGGGGCTGGAGCAATAGCACAGCGGGTAGGGCATTTGCCTTGCACGCGGCCAACCTGGGTTCGATTCCCAGCATCCCATATGGTCCCCTGAGCACTGCCAGGAGTAATTCCTGAGAGCATGAGTCAGGAGTAACCCCTGTGCATCGCCAGGTGTGACCCAAAAAGCAAAATAGATAAATAAATAAATAAACCACTAAAGAGCCTTGAATATGGCACTTTTTAAAAAAAAATCTCAGGGCTAGGATGAAGGAGACATTACTGGGGCCTGCTCAGGCAATCGACGAAAACCACTAAGACAGAAGAAGAAAGTACCAGGCCTCTCCCTGGAATCTCCTATGACAAACCATCATTCTGCAATGTGCAAGCTTTCCCCTAGCACCCCCTTCGATGTCGCACTTAAGTCCTGTTGTCACACACACACACACACACACACACACACACACACACACACACACGGTCTTGTCTTCGGTCCAAAATTCCCGAGAGCCCTGATAGTTTCTATAGGCGACTGGTGGCTGGCAGCTGTGGCAATTATTCTTGGAAGAGATGAAGCAAGCAGAGAAAAATGTGTGGGCTGGAGTCTAAAACCGTGAAGATGTTCCATCTTCATCGCCAACTAACATCTATCAAAAAGTCTTCTTTGAAAGGAGGTATTTTAATCAGAAGAACAGCAGAGTTTCCCATCCCTGTGGATTTCCAAATGTCTCCTGTGAAAGAAAGTTTTCAGCAGAAAAGGCAAAAAGGAGTCCACTGGGAGTCCTGTAGATGGGGACTCTTATCTTGTCTATGCTCGAGAGAGCGGAGAGATCCTCAGGGAGGTATCTCGCATCAAACCGTCTTCCCAAAATAGGGGCACATGGACCTCAAAGCTCAAAGTAGGATGAGGCTCAATTCACCTGAAAGTGCTCTGTATACACTATCAATAAAATGGTATCATTTTGAAACTTCCTAAAAGTAACTAAAATTTGAGTTTAGACTGTGACTCCTAATTCTCTCATTTCTATTTATCAAGTTTACTCTGCGGGAGCGATAGCACAGCGGGTAGGGCGTTCGCCTTACAAACGGCCAATATGGCCGACCCGAGTTCGATTCCTCCGCCCCTCTCGGAGAGCCCGGCAAGCTACCGAGAGTATTCGATATGCCAGACACAGTAACAACAAAGTCTCCAATGGAGACGTTACTGGGCCCGCTCGAGCAAATCGACGATCAACGGGAGGGCCTTTACCTTTACCTTTACTCTGCGGGAGCAGATAATTCTGCAAAGGAGACACAATGGAAAATAAAGCAAAACTCTTTTTCTCAACAGTAGGTTGGCCACTGAACCA